GTTCGAACTCTGAATATGAGCGACTTTTCCTTTAAATCCAACATTGGAACATTTGAACATAAAAATCACTGATTTCTGTTATTCTATAATGAAATCTCATGGAAAAAGAAGAAGAAGGAGGAAGATGAAGAGGAGAAATGATCCTTTTAAAGCTGAACCGATGGGCGGCCTTCCTAACTGTCCTCATTACCAGCAGGTTACCTGCTCCGTCACACAGAGGGGCCTCCATGGAGGCTCAACCAGGCATCGACTGACTTCATTCATCTGCTGCCTTTGGATGAAGCTTGGATGAAGGGACCAATAAATACCATTAAATAAGCAGCAGTCTGGTTCATCTGATCCAGATTAATACTAAATATAATCTCCTGGTTATCATAAGTTACTAACTAAGCTACCCGGTATCTCCTTCAAACAGCCAATGCTTAAATACGCCGTAGATAATTTTCCTATTTACAGCAGAACCAGAAATACATTTAATCTATTAAAGCTTTGCATGATGAGAGGCGCTGAGGGAAGCAGGGTGGAGCTACATACTGCTACCTCCATAGGGACAGTGGGGGAGGGGGTAGATATAAACACGGCGCCACGGTAACAGGAAGTGGAGCGTGAGCTGAACTATGAGCATAAAGGCGTGTTTCTGTTTGATGCTTGCTTGAAGGCAGCGATTAACTCCATGTTTTCCTTATTCGCTCCCTCTGAATGGAACGTCTGTCTTCTGAACTTTGACCCCTGCTCTGAGCTGAGGTGCTACAGGCACATGTAGGCATTAGCATTAAAACAAGGAAGGACCTGACTGAGGAACATTCTGCTCACAGGAGCCTCATGGGGGGGTTAGCATGCTAACGCTGCAGCCTGCAGGGACCCACAGGCCCCCACTGCCTCTGTCCACTCAGGACGGGACACAAGAAGGAAAACACAAGCAGAGGTGGGAGCACTGCTCAGGTTAAGGGCTCTGATTGGTCCGTCAGGTCCTCCTCCTCCACCCTGATTGGCTCGGCTGCAGCTAAGGAGTGCTGGGACTGGCTGGAGAAGGACATGTGTGACGAGCGGCTCTGGGTGTCGTCCTCATCCTCCGCCATCACCGCCTTCCTTCTAGGTCGTCTCCTCTGTTCCTTCCTGATGTTTTCCTCCTCCTCCTCCTCCTCCTGCTGCGCTCTCCTGCTCCTCACCGTCGCTCTCCTCTGCTCCCCTAACGTCCACATGCTCTCCTCCTCGTCCTCCTTGCCCTGGATTTCCCGATCAAAGTCCAGCAGCTCCTCCATCATCTCCTCGATCTCCGTCTCTCCGTCCATCTCCCCCTCCACCTCTGATCGGAGTTCTCCCAGGCTCTCCGTCAGGTTGGTGTCGTCCGTCTCCTCATCCTCCCCGAGGCCCCTCGGCCTTTCGGGCGGCTCGCTGGCCTGACTCTCACCGAACTCCAGGATGGTGGGCAGGTTTCCCTGCTTGGGGCAGCGCTTCCTCAGGCTGACCAGGAAGGGCTGAGGCAGGGAGAAGATGTCCACGTTGTTCCCCAGGTCGATCCAGGTCACACTGGGAAAACTGCTGGGATCCTGCAGAGGAAAACATTCACATTATAACGGGATGATCAGTAGTTACTGTGGTTAACCACCTCTCCTCTCTACATTTAGAGGAGTGGAATGAAAACTCATCAGGGTTGACCTACATGGGGGGCCAGAGGTGGCCCCCCACCCTTAAAGGCCAGTTTATGCTTCTGACACATAGCCTCTGCAACAACCACGCCCCCCACGCTAAGGTTCTGCATCCGTCATCGTGCACCTAAAAAAAATTGGTAGTCGTAAACCCGCTCACACCTTAAGCGGAAGTGAGCAGACAAAAAGCAGCTGTGATTGGTCCTTGGTACGCCTTTCCGGCTGTCTGTTTTGCCCCCCCGGTGCTACCGGGGGGGTTGGGTGGTGCAACTTCACTCAGGTATAGGATGCAGGAGTTTAACCTGCAACTGAAGGGTTGTCGGTTTAAGCCCCGGCTTTCATGGCCGCTGTGGGCAAGGCGCTCCCTGCCTACTGATGGTGGTCAGAGGCC